CATTTCGTTTATTTTTATGCGTGTGACATCTCACGATTGTCAACTATATTAAAAACGTTTATTAGTGCATATACTTTCTGAATTATATTATGGCCATCATCAGCAGTGCACTAATAATACCGTAATGTGCTGACGGATACTCAACCTCTGTATGGTCGAACAATGCGTGGGTGTGCTTTGTACCTCCTAAATTACAGTGTAAGTCTTCCAGGAGATCAGAGATTTAAACGTAGAGATTTCGAAGAAACACTGTCATGAGTGCGCGTTTGAGAGTCACGAAGGTGCAAGTGCTTCCCTCAGAGAGGACTACACTGACAGGTGAATCACCTGTGCCAAGGCGGTCATTGAAGGCACAGTGTATGATCAGATTGTAATGATGGACGTTTGTTGGCAATTTTGTTGCAAACGTTTGATCACCAGCCAACGTGACAACATCGGTAGGTTGTGAATGAAAGTGAGTTGTGGTTTTAAGACTGGTGTCATACGCTATGTAGATAATGATACTTGCATTTATTTTTTCATGGCTGATTTATCAGAGTCGGCTATTATGAATGTTTAACACCGTTGACTGACGTGCTGCAAAAACAAATACCCATTTTTTAATCACCTCGTTACTGACCCACGGATACCATTCGAGGCCATCAGCGCTTCTAAAGCATCGGGTGTCAAAACCTCAAGACGCTTTACATAAACTTTTGACCAATGTCATGCTTCGCAACCAATCAATAATACAGCACTAATTATATCCTGGTAAATGCATCCCTTGAGACCAAGATTAATGCAGTCTAGACGCCACAAGTGGAGCAAATTAGCAAACTTCTTTCTGACCTTTGAGTTTCTTTCACGCACCTCATTGGACACAATGCCGTTAGAGCTGATACAGTTCAACAACTTCAAATGATCTTCCATGAGTCCGTCATCATTGACAGCAGTACGTGGCTTATCAAATGCGATTTCTGGTGCCGGATACACTCTTCAACAAAAGTTTCCGGTGTACAACCGAGGACTCGCTTCCTAGTCGCCTGCCAAAAAGCTACGGTTCGGTGGCAACAATTATCGAACACACGATGTTCCATTTACGCTACTCACACGGTTAATCAGCATTATATCCTATTATTATATTATATTATATTATATTGTATTGTGTTATATTATATTATATTATAAATTTCACATCCACATCGCTCTACTTCGAACAGTCGTCTCACTGCCGTCGCGTAATTACTTTTCGTGAGTACACACTGAAATGGGGAGCAAGAGTAAAGTTGTCATTTTCTCCTCAAATACTCCGGGAATTCGCGCCATATTTTTAGAATGAAAATGAACGAGATTGGTTGATCTCACAATTTGTGAATAGTAACCCCACAATTAAACCCCCCCAACCAACCGGTTTACTCAACTGAGGCCATTTCACACGGAATATTTGAGAGTTGGCTCGAAACTAGTGCCTCTGAGCAACCACCCTCAGCATCAGAACAAAGACCAAGCTGGAATTCTTTGGGATGCACTACCCTTTCAGAAAAGACCGGGGAGCACAATATATGTTTTCAGTTTCGTTACTTTAAAGTGACCGTTCGGCAACTAGGTTGAACCCAACCCCACCTCTTTGTTTGCAATATGATCGGGGGTTTCAAATATGGCTTCAGGCTAAATGAACTTTGCATGGTAGAACGGTCGTCAAAGAATAAACGCTCCTAAGGTGATCACTGCAAAAACAGCTAACTTCGACTTTCAACTATGCAACACATTCAATCCATTCAAAGGGGAATTCCCAGATTTTTATTCGTTTGGTTCTTTTAAAACCGCAAGTTTGTTATGCCTTTACGCACTTTTATCTCCCTTCCTTTTTACAAACAGTAAATCAATAGAAGAAACAAAAGTTCCGAAAAATCCCAAACAGTACTGTATATTTTCTTGATGAAACATACTACCAATAAATTTACTGAAAATCCATCGATACAAATTGTCATGCAGTAAATGACCAAAAAGGGAGACCATTTGAGTAGATGTCATTCTCAGAGGTCACTCATCCGCCTAAAGCAGAAATCATCCTTAATGCACTGCTCATAAGGTTGCTGAAAATTCTTCGATAGCCCACGACCGGTTTTGCCCTTTTGGGGGCTCATTAGGTAGGTGCAGTCTTAGAGTTTCCGCCAACCTTATGTTCCATTTGGAGCCAAATTGCACGAAATTGGCGAAAAACGCTCATCGCCTGGAAACATCACAAACGAGAGATTCAGGTGAGTCTCTCGCAAAACCAAATTTGTTTGGGATACTATCCTCCCTAAATTTCCGTTCGTTCATTTGACAGTCAAGTGCTGGGAACTCATGGAGGTTATAAATCCGCACACCGAGTAGTTTACACCCCACTGGTGATGATTTATTTAATTACAGTTTGAGGTGACTCTGCCCTTCAATGTCCAAATGGTTGGCCACATATCAGAACTCATTCCCTACTTGAAATGAGACGTATTCAATGCTTACAGGACTTACCAATGAAAGACGGGAATAGTGAGGTTTTTCAGAAGAGCATGTTATCCTATCACGTGATGATCTAGCTGTTCGTCAGTAGATGGTCTTGGACAGTTCAGCAAGGTAATATGAGAACCATGTGAACAACGTTCACTACCAGGTATACACGATACTAGGTATGTCTTTTATGGACAGAATGCAGAGCAAGAATAGTTGGATCAACCACAAGTTCGAGCCCAAGGAGAGAGTATCTGCAAAATTTCTGACTGTCTAAGGGTCGATCAGTATTCAGCTGTGGCGCCGTTTCGGTGCTTAACAGCCAAGCCACCCGGAGGAAACACGAGGGAAGAGGCCGAAACACCGGGGCTGGACTGGAACTACAGACATTTCGGTCTCACCACAACCCGTGAGTTATCTGGAGATAAATTAATGTTTACTGGACAATGAATATGATCTTTACAGGTCATGTGAAACGGAGATCACAGTGGTACGGCACTCGTCCTAGTGTGTTATTGTATTGTTATCGAGAAACATCGATTAGTACTTGCTCCAGCGGTTGGTAGATGCCCCCCCCCCCCAATTAACATCATCCAGACTGTGCCCACTGGGTGGGAAAGCTTAAAATAAGTCAACTCAAGAAGCAACCAGTATCGGTTAGGCACCAGTGAATACGGCTTAAAATTTCAGGTCACTCCATTATTTTATTCTGGTCCTTAACTCAGGAAAGATTTGGCTTGAAAAATATGAAGAGAACTCTATTACAAATACGATGATACAATTCTCGGTACCGATCAAATTTTATAACTACGCATCCACGTAAACTTCGTGGCGGCAGTAAATGATCTATTCACATTACATTTACGTCAAATTAATCAATATTTCGTAAGATCACTAATTGAGGATTGCTCAATAGTTAGGGTGTAAATTTACTGACCGGAAGATCCATGGTTCGAACCCCAGCCCGGCATCTCAACTGTTCCTGTTTAAGCTTGAAAGTGATTTCCTCGGATGGTTTGGCAGATGGGTACCGAAGATGTGTTGTAGTTGAACGATTACTTTGTTTTTCATGGATTACCATAAAAAATGCGACGTTAATTCCCTACAGGTGTCCGGTCGAGCTGGATATGACAAACGCACCTAAAGCGCTTATGATGTCCAGTTATTACTAAATATCTTTCAGCTTCTCCCGATGCCTAGCTGCCATGCCACCCGAAGGAAGTAAGAGCGCTGGGATAATGCCAGGTTGCCCAAGCCTAGAGAGGAAAAGTCGAGATGCGGAGATCGGGTTCGAACCGCGAGCCGTCCGGTCAGTATATTCGCGCTGTAACTACATGGGCCATCTCACCTCAGCGTTAAATATAAAATTCCAAGTTGATCGGATTTACATTTAACGCAATGCCTGGTTTGTGCACTACCATCATTCGGCTTTGTAAGTATGGTACTCCTTTAAATGGGAAAACCTCTTATAGAGGATGACTCCTTCCGAAGGAAAGACCTTGGAACCGGTGGTTTCCTCGCACGTGGAAAGCCTCACCGACCGAGATTCACTAGCGGAGTAAGAAGTGACCTTGCCAATATCAGTCTGTCTCAACAGGACTAATCTGGGCAGACTTCAAATCAATAATAGGAGCTAATATATGCACACCCACAATAATGTTGTGGAATACATTACAGCTTTCCGGATAATGAAGTTGTAATCTGGGATTAGGCGACTTGATATAATAGGCCGAATGCACCCTGTTTCTCATTAGGCCGATCGGATACATTACCGTAATAGACGATATGGGTTTGATAAGATGCCGATGAGGTTTCACTGAAACCTGCAAGCAGTTAGTTTAAAACACCTGAAATTCTATCAAATTACGTGTGCGAAAAGGGGGTCTTTTCCAGACAAGCCACTTTTTGCCAGCTCCAATTTAATGTACGCACACAACCTTGATCCATTTTTGATTAAAACAATTCCTCACCCGCATCTAGGCTGATTTTGTGTAAAAATTCTCTCCGTTCGGACGTAAAACCTTAAATGAACTTTCTGACGCTTTCAACTCTCGTTCATGACAAGGAGAGGGCAATACGT